GTCTGCCAGGTAGTGCAGGGATGTGTGGGATAAGAGCGTGTAGGAGGGAGTTTCACATCATGTGTGGCCCAAATAAAACTCTTAACAACATCACATTGGGCTCTTAAGAGCGAATATTAGGGATCTGAGGATGGCCAGGGAGGAAGTGAATGTTTGGAGTCTGAGGGACTAAAGCTCGCAGACCTGGGCCGTCTAGTCTCTACCTTCAGATGTTGCCTCCGGGTCTTGGGGGTGTGGCCCCAGGGGAAGGCTGACCCCTGGCTAAATTGCCAAGTGGGAAAAGTTAGCCATCCTCACTGTCTTCTCCCTCGCTTTTCTTTGCCCGTCTATACCCTATTTCTCCTTTCTGACCGACAGAGCTGCTGGAAGGCTCTGGTGCCCCCACTCACAGGAGAAGCTCTGAGGAGCTGCAGCGCCCCGACAGGCAGGGGACTCCGTGGCCTCATGTCGTGCCAAGGCTTGGCCAGAAGGGATAACCCAATGGAAAAAATTCAGAGCCCAGTGACCGGCGGGTGGAGGGAATAAATAATACCAGATAGATCAGGAACTGTGCTAAGTCCTTCAGGTAAATTCATCTACTCTCCATAATAGCTGAGGTTTTATTATCCTACCTCTGTTACAAATGGGGTGAGAACATTTCTCATAAAGTTCTTGTGAGGGCTGCAGAAGGCAGGCATTACCTAGGGCTGGAATATAGTGTGAGCGCCGAGGAGACTAGCCCTTGTCATCAAGGGGGACATTGTCTTACGGCTCTGCTTGGTTATCGCATCACCCTGCTTTGACTTTCCCCTTGGCCAGGCTCTGAAGAGCCATCTCCTGACCTTTCCAGACAGAGGGCTGAGATCCTTGGGTGGCCCTCACTATGACCCAGCACTGCTCTCCCCAAAGACAGACCGTGAGAGTCCCCTGCCCCCTGGACTCACTGGGGAGCCCGCCCAGGTAGAGGCACCTGGCTCAGGCATCCTGCAGTTTCCTCTTTCTGAGAACTTCGACCACAGGCTTGCCCATCCCAGAGGGAGCTGCTCCCCAGGAATGGGCCTTTGGGAAGGTTAACCTTTACGGTAAACAGACTCGTGACTTTCTGCTACAAGAAATGGTGGAGTTTGGGTAAAATTTCTTTCCTGAATATGGTCATGTTCCTGTTGGTGTTCTAAGGTTAGAACCCAAATATGTGGAAATTTTGGATGAATTTTAATGTGATTTGTCCGCAAAGACCTAGATTTTAGAATATTCAGCTTCATACACTTAAACAAAGACTTTTGGCTCTAGTGAGGGTGGATTGGCCACCCACTTCTTTATCAGCCTTAGGAGAGGTTTACAAGCTTCTAGAACTCCTTGAATTTTACAGCTCTACTATCTTCCTTCCCTTCCTGCTTCAGCTTCCTGTCCAGCTGGGGGCCGCTGATCTTAGTTTTATATCTTCTCTCTCGGTGTGCCCCTGTCTAGATATGTAGTCTTTCTGAGATGATCTCATAATTTTTATTGTACAGGCTCCATCATAGAGTTACTTCAGAGAAGCTTGGGGATGGGGAGCCCTACTTGTTTCTCTGCCTTGGGGACAAGCTTCACAGACCATATCATAGTCAGGTCCTCTCTGCTGTCTGCTGTTTTTAGGAGAGATGACCCGTCCTGAGTCTTGGGAAAGTCTTGGACAAATTATATATATATATATATATATATATATATATATATATACATATTTAGCTTTGCAAACAAAAATCAACTGCTATAAACAGATTCTCAACCACTATTGGGTCTTAGTAATGTGTAATCATTGTTACATAATGGATTTTTAAAAAGAAAAAAATCAAGATAATTCAAGAACTTGAGGAAGGTTTTCTTGCCATCAGAAATATTGAAATAGTTCTCTGCGTGGTTGCTGGACACTAATCCTTGTTATTTGATTTATCATTATCAACCTCACAGTTGATTGTTACTCCCCTATATTGGGCTGAATAGTGTCCCTCCAAAATTCATGTCCACCTGGAACCTCAGAACATGACCTCATTTAAAAACAGTAACTTTGCAGATGTAATTCATTAAGATGGGGTCAAACTGGATTAGAGTGGGTCCTCCACCCAATGACTGGTGTCCTTATAAGAAAGCATGTGAAGACATAGGGCAACACACAAGGAGAAGGCCATGCGATGATGGAGGCAAGCCAAGGATGTGATGCATCCTTGTAGATGCATGTGATGCGTCTACAAGCCAAGGATTGCTGGCAACTGCAAGAAGCCAGGAGAGAGACATGAACAGATATTCCCTGCTGACATGAACCAACACTGCTGACATCTTGATTTCAGACTTCTAAACTCCTGAATGGTGAAAAAATAAATTACAGTCATTTTAAACCACCCAGTTTGTGGTACTTCCTAGAGTAGCCCTAGGAAATTAATATACTCCCGCAAATTGGTGACTTTTTAACTTATTAGAGATCCCATTTAGGCTATAGACCAGCTTCCTTCTTCATAGGAGTGTTTTTCTGTCCAACATGCTGCATGCGGAGCAGGTGGATTTGGGGCAGGTCATATTACTAAACTTGCTATCACCTATTGACAACGCCAGTTAAGAATAATACAAGATTGCAGCTTTAGTGACATTTCTTGGCCTTTGATCCTAGGAACTGGGATAGACTGCCTAAGTTCAGGACTGGCTTGTAGGTTGTTGCATTAACACAGAAGCTGTATCTTAATTCCTCTGCCCCAGGCATGACTCTTTGGTGGGTCAGAGAGCAGCTTCCTGAGGGTAAAACAGTGATGGGTTCTAACATACCTTGTAGTTTTGGTTCTCCTGCAATGCTTTGCTATCCAGACTGGGGAAGCACATAGCATGGAAAGCATTATGTTCAAGGCCCAGATAGAAACATAGGTTCTATCCCACATCAGGTGGGCTAGACGGCCAGGAAGAACTCTCTCCAAGAGAGAACTCTCTACACACTGACACCCTGAAGAAGAGTCTAGGGGTGGCACGGAAGCTTATAAGATATGGCAAGGTTTAGCAGAACCTAGGAATGGCCTTAGGAGACGAGGGGGTCCTTTACCTAATCACTGTCCCCCAAGAGGCTTTGGGTCAACTATTCTAAAACCTAACTCATCATCTAATTAGCCTCTAGGCTATGGAAGGAGTCTATTCATTTGGTTACTTGAGTTTTCATTAATAGCCTCTTGATCTTGGAGGATACCCCAGGGAGGTATGAGATTTAAGGTCAGGTGTTCCATGGATGCTGTACCAAGATTTTTTTTAATGCCTAAGAGGAGCACTGGTTATATCTGCTTTCAGTTTATTCCATCATAGAGAGTCTTTCATTACAGAGCTTTGGCATCTTGGCCACTGGTGTAGACCCCAAAGTGTTCTCTTATTGAAGAGAATCTTGGTCCCACCTGCAAGCTGTCCCCTAGCCTCCCTCAGCCCAGCATTGGAGGTGGGGGGAACTCTGGTTTAGATACATGTCCTGGGGTGTCTAAAAGTGGGACTACAGCAAACTGCTCTGAAAGTGTTGCCTGGGAAACAAGTGGTATGGGGGACAAATGCAGTCTGAGCCTCCTTGGTGGCAATCACTGTCTTTAATTATTAATTAATTCACATTTTTGATTTGTTAGCGAGTGCCAGCTTGTAGGTGCTAGTTGAAGTGCAGAGCTTAGAGGGAAAAAGACCTTAAAACCTTAGCTCTTTGGAGATCAGCCCCTCCCTGGCACCATCAAACCCCCTCTTTTCTCCCCTTTCACTCAGAACTCTTCAAATACAGGGGTTATGAGTGTTTGACCATTCTCTTACACTATTAGGTCTCTGTGAGTGACAAAAAGGGAAAGGGGTGTCTTCCCTGAGGTGGGGCTTGTGAAAGTCGCTATTTACATTTTTCTCCTCCTCTTCCTCCTTCCTGTAGAATTCTGTCTCCATCAGGAGAGCAGAGGCTCTTATGTGGAGACAGGAGATGCGAAATCTAGCTTTGACACTAGTGTATATCATTTTTTGCCCTTGGACAAAATTCTTCACCTCTTAGGACCTCAATTTTCTCACCTGTAAAATGGTAAGAATGTGTTTTTGATTCCTTGTATGTATGCCCATGTTACATAATCCCCAAAGCCTCAGGACTCCAGACCTTTTATGGTTTCTCCCAATATAGGCAGAGGTGAGAATACCTGATGGGGATTTTAGTGAGTGTAAATACACAGAGATGCTGTGGCTTCCAGGGATTCAGTGATTTTTTTTTTTTTTTTTCAGTGATGTTTTTAGAAAGGTTGCTAGCCGGGTTTGTGGCCTATGTGTCCCGGTGTCTAGCAGAGCACGTGGAATCTAGTGAGTATCCAAATGCGTATTTTTAATGAGGGAAAGAAGAAGAGAAGATGGAAGGGAGTGGGGCATTGGGAGACTCGGGGATGGAGTGGAAGGGAGAATCCCACTGACATCCCAAAACAAGGGTGCAGAGAAGCCCTGAATGGCTTTCTGAAATTGTCTCTCCACCCACTGTGGTCCCTTTTCTTTCTGAGAGGTCCCCTTAGATCGTAATTCTCCTTCCACATCTTAGTTCTTTCATTAGGAATAAGCTGTAGGTGGAAATGCCTCACGTCACCTCACCCCCAACAGGAACAAGTAAGCCAGGCTTGGATGCCACCGAGAAGGGACCAACATACCCTCTGAGGACAGGTAGGAAAAGCCTAGGTGGGGTGTGAGTGCAGGGAGTGGAGGCCCGGAGCTGAGGGCCCTGAGGATCAACGTGATTCAGAACGTGATTGCCACGTGCGGAGGGATGGGTGCAACCAGGGCTCTGTCTAGGCTTCTCTGGGGCCGTTCTGGGTGGCGGCGGCCATGTTGTTGGTCTGGAGCAGGAAGGTGGTGAAGGCCATGTCGGCTTCCTCCTTGGATGACTAGGGGGCAACAGGAGAGGGGTCAGTGTTTGGGGCGTTGGCTCAGAGGGTGGGGGTCGGAGGGAGGGGATGCACTAAGTATCCTAAATTCATAATCTTGGCCTAAACAACCCAAGACTCTGTTCACTCACTGTCCTCATTCCGGCCACCGTGCTCACCAAGAGGGACTAATTTTGAGAAATGGAAAGTTGCAGCTTCTAAAAATATCTCCCTCTGTCTCACTACCTCCTTCCAACACATGGAGTGGAACCACCTCTGTTGCCTGGACCAGTCCCCGGAAGCCCTGCCCCCGGTCACGGCCAAGGTGGCCTAGGCTGGCGTCAGCTACAAGGTTTACATTTTTCTTTCTCTACCAGTTCAGAGACACAACACCAGGCTGGAGGGGAAGGCTGTCTCCAGGACTGACTCATTCCCCTAATTGTTCCCAGTGCTGGGATCTCTGCTGCCGCCAGGGAGAGTAGATATGATAACAAGCGTTAGTGCCTTGGGATCAGGGAAGTACGAGGAGAGGGTAACATGTGACCCAAAGGCAGGCAGGATTTCAAGTAACATGGCACTTGGTTGGGGTGGGAAGGGGCCTCTAGTGGCTATCAGTGCCTCCCACGAGCAAATGTCTTCCAGGCCCAGGGAAAATGCTGGTCCCCGCAAACCCTCAAGTGAGAGTGGTGACCTGAGTCTATGGGTCCCATGGCCAGCGTTTGACACTTGACCTGCCCACCCTGTGGCTGAATCTTTAATGCATTTGCCTTCCTCATCCCCTGCCAACCACTCCCCCTGCCCCCTGCCCCCCCACTGCCGTCTCCCTCCCTCCTGCCAGTTTACAGCCTATAAACACAGCTTACCTCCTGCCTGGGCCTCAGCCAGGTCAACACCACAACCAGAAAGATGCACTTTCCAAATACTGTTTACACCCCCTTCCCTACTCTGGTGCCAGCCCCACTCTGAGGTGGCTTTTCCTGATGTCTAACTGCAGTCCCTCATGCTGCATTTCCTCATCACCCACGTGAGGCCTCCTTCTCCCTCCTTGCTCTCACCCTTTTCGCCTTCCTGGGTTCTTCCTTCTCCACGGCATCCTCGGTAGTGGTGGCGAACTCTGTGTGAAGAGCAGGGGAGGGTGGGTCAGCCCTCCCCGGCCTCCTATTCCCGTCCCAGATGCGGAGTCAGGGCTAATTCTTGTTCCCCAGGGACTGGGCATTCCCTTGAGTGAGGGATGTACCGTCTTTTCCTCCGAGAGTTGTCTCCTGAGTGTCTGGAGAGGCTCCCATGTTGTCATGGGCTCCAAAATCCCTGGAGTTCTCAAAGTCTGACATGCTAATGTCCGTCCTGTAGCTTCTGATTGAAATCCGGTCTGTCAGGGGGCAAAGAGGAGTTGGTGTAGAGATGGGGGCCGGGGCGTCCCCAAGGGAGCCCCACAGGAGAGCTGAAGGGGGGCAAGTTCTTTGCTGCTCGTCTCTGACTAGGACCCAAGGCAGATTAGAAGTGACCCGAGTCTCCTCCCCAGTCCCTTTTCACAGACAATCTAGACTCAACAGTCACTGACCTCTCTTCATCACTCTGCAAACTTGCAATGCCCAGGACCTTGTTTTGTCCTCAGAGATGGTTATTCTTACCCCCGTCTTGAGCCGTGAGGAAACCAGAGGTATGAAACTGGGACACCCCGAGTCACACAGCTGACTGGTCCTCACACCAGGCTGGAAGCCCAGGTTTCCCAGCACCCTGCCCTCCTCTTCCCAGCAGCTATGCCTCTGAATTTAGACCCGCAGCAATTGAAGATGGACTTCCAGCAGAGATGACGGCATTTGGACCACAGCACTTGCTGTAAGTTTTGAGCATGTGTGGGTTTATTATTCCCCACCTCACTTTCCTGGACCCTTCCTTTGAGCTGATAAAAGGGAACAGATCATGGCAACTCCCCTCAGCGCCTCTGAGCCAGGACTGAGGCTCAGGGTTGGAGGTGGGGGGCAGGGAGCACCCCGGGACTCACCGACATTCTTCCTGTGTCGGGCTCTGACCACCGCAATCGCTACGGCCCCTGCAGCCAGCACCAGGGCCAGGGGCACCAGGGTGGAGAACAGCACTTTGGAGCTCCCACCTTGTTCTGCAGAGCTGGAGGGAGCATTAATTTAGTTAGTCCTTGCAAGGGACCTTGGGGATCCCAGGAGGTGCTGGCCGGTTGTCTCCAGCCAGTTCTTCCTTCCTGGTTAATCCACTGCGTCCTCCTGATACAGCCGCCCGAGCTCTGTTCTTCTAAGAAGCCCTCCTAGACAGGACAAAGCTGAGGACCGGGCCTTGCCTGCATCCCCGGACTGGGAAATTGAACTGAATGGTGAGCACCGCACTGGTCGCGGGAGAAGGGCAGAGAGCACAGACCGAGGCAGTGAGGGCTGCCTCTGCTGTCAAGAAGCGGACAGGCTCTCCTCCTTGGGCCTGGTGGACCAACCTCAGGTCCTCGGTCTCCAGAATGTTCTCCAGGTGGGGATCCCCAAATCCCTCCTCACCTGCCGGGATCTGCAGGTGCTCCGCTCCCACCAGCTGGATCTCCAATATCCTTCACTGCTCTTTCCTCTGCAAAAAGGCTGGGACCCTGAATGACTTTGTTCTCAGTCTCCCTGGCCCTCGGCTCTATCACTTCCTCACCAGGAGCAGCATTCACTCGACTGGTATCCTGGGACCCTGGAGAGAGCAGAGGGGGCTGGATTATGGTTCTTTCTGTCCTTGAGTTTAGGGAGTCTGAGGAGTGGGACTTCATTAGGAACCCCAGGGTCAGGGTGAGATTTCAAGACTGTTAGGATAGGGTCTCGAAGGACACTAGAAACAGGACTGGTGGTCTTCAGTAGCTTGTCACAGATGACCTCGGTCCCATTCATAGCAAATTCACTTCCATCCGCAAGGTTCCGTGTCATTAGATCCAGCTATGCATAAGGGCTGACCCATCATTTGTGGACAGGGAGACTTTTCGCAGCTTTGAAACCCTGCCCAGGGCCTCTTGACTACAGGGCTGGGCGCCATAGTGCTGCCCCCTGGTGATAGCTTGGTTAGGGCTCCCTCAGTGAGCCTGACCAACTGGATGCTGACATAATCGGATTTCTGGAGGGACTAAAAATACCTTCATTAGGGATAAAACATTTCATGTGATATTTTAAAAAGAGGCTTGAAATGCAAACTTATTAGAAGATATTGCCCCGATTTTCTTTAGCAGACCTTGTACGTGAAGGTTGTCTGGCCCTCTTTTGAGCAGAGAGTATGATGCATATAACAGTGACTTTGACATTTCTACATATAGAAGAAGATCTCTCTGTATAGAAAGGGCTTCAAAGTGGCCTGAAGGAGCAACTATGGGACTTGTCTTGAAACTGAGGTTAAATGGCAAATCCACTATTTTTAATTAGTTTGTATATTTATTGGGATGCCCTTTCTGGAAGGCTAAATTAGACCAGGTGGGGGCATAATCTACCCCCCTCCCCACCCCCACCTCTTATAGCCAAACCTAGGGGCCACCCCTGATGGAGATGCTCTTAGGCAGCTTTCTGTGGGGTCCCAGGGTACGTGGGCATGGCCCTCGGAGACTCACCCTTCACCCTCTTCTCCACCGCCACATAGACAGCCACGGTCTCTCCGTATTTGTGGCCCTCCTTCACTCCGCACCAGTACCAGCCTTCATCCTCGCTGGTGACGGAGTTCAGGTTCAGGGACACGACCTGGCTCTTCTGGTTGCAGTTCACAAAGGCCTGGCTGGGGCCTTCGTCCTGGCTGGGCAGGGTCCTGCAGCCTTTGTTGCTCCACTTACACCAGTACTTCTCATAGGAGTAGAATTTGCAGGGGAAGTGGCAGGAGATCTTGAAGGTCTCTCCCAGCGAAACCTTGACATTCTTGGGTGCCTTGAGGCTTGGTTCTCCTGGAGCAGGGAGGGAGAAATAGGCACAGAAGTCGGCACTGGTGATGCTGCAGAAAAGTGACGGGGGGACTAGGGGGGTGCTTTGTCCACAGCCTATTTCCTCTTTGGACAGCATGGTAAATAAACACACTATACTGAACACAAAAGCACTTGTAATTATGTGTCTATAATAGATTATTGGTGACCACCGTGAGTCACTCTAGTCTATCACAGACCATAGACCTTGCTAATGACTTCAGTTTGCTTTCCTCATTGTTATCTGCTCTCCTAGACTCAAGACAGCCATACTCTACTCAGCTGACGCCGTATATACTGTAAAAGAAGCCGATACTCTTGATCACTGGAGGTGTGGTAGTTTGAAGAGTGTGGGGCAGGAAAGGGTTTGTTACAGGTGTGAACGGGATGGGGATGGGTGCTTGATACAGGTATGAGCAGGTGGGCTCTCTCCATCAGCATGGAGGTGGGGGAAGGTGGGAGGCAGAGTGGTTGGGGGGTGTTGCTGCTGCTGACTGGAGGGGTACCTGGGGCTGCCTGCCTTCCCTCTTGCCCCAGTCCAGCAATTACCTTCCACAATCTTGAGCTCCACCGAGGACCTCCAGCGAGTATCGCCGTTTGTCAAACACCAGTAGAAGCCGGCGTCCTGGGTGGTGAGCTGGTTGAGGATGACGGTGTAGGTGCCATTGCCTGGCTCCTCGTACAATGCGAGCCTGCCCTCGTACTGCTCCTTGACCAGCCCCTCGCTCTGCACCAGCTGCGGGCAGCGGCCACCCTGAGTCTCTTCCCAGTGACACCAGTACTTCAGGCTGTCTGTTTCCTTCGGGTTGTAGGCACAGGACACGGCCACGGAGCCTCCCACCACTCCTTTCACCACAGACTGACTTGGGGGAATCATGGTCTCTAGAAGCACAGACAGGGATGGGAAGGAAGAAGCAATGTGGTCTGGGCAGCCTCTTCCCCGTGGGCTCAGCCAGGGTGGAGAGTGACGTTTAGACCTCACCCTCCTGAGAAAGTGAAAAAGATTTTCCTAATGTCACAGAGCCCAGCACTGGAGCCTTCACCCAGCCTCCAGGAGACTTCCCCACTGGTCTGGCGACCTTGATTCCTTCCCCCCCTTATTCTGAGCAGAGAATGGAAGGGGTTTAAAGAGAGACTATTAGCCTTTCTCCTTAGGCTTCTTACAAAATCTCCCCCTAGGTAAGTTTTTGTCTGTTTATTAGCTTGTCCCACAAAATGGCCAGATGTTTTTTCTCCAAATTAAGAAAATGTATTAGAACAGTATGATTTAAAATATACACTATGTAGCACAGATAAGTTTAATTGTTGAGCACCCCGACTGAGGGCCATGTCCAAGAGAAGAAGCATGGCTTCTCTCCAAGAAGCTAAAGTTGAGGTTCCATGAGAACCCCAGATGACTGAAGACGCTGGGGGATGTGGTGAAGACTGAGCTAGATGGAGAAATGATGTCCAGGGAATGTGAGCCCCTTACAGGAAAGTCACAAGGGCAGTGACCATGAACTTCAAGTACTGGTTCACTGTGTCTCATGAGGGTAACTCTGTGTGGAGTGCTCCAGGGTGAGAAGAAGCAGAGATTTAACCTGCTGAATAACAAACAACCCTAAGAGATGTTGGAGGGGAGATTTTAGAAGCTGGGGCATTGCCTTCCTGGGAAAGCTTTGCGACCAGCGTAAATCAAGACTTCTTCCATCTGAGTGTGAAGGATGAGGTGCCATACTGCTCGAGGGTCGGGTAGCCTCCGTGTTATGTCCTCACCATGGCTCTCTGAAACCCAGGCAATCTACAGGTCTGGTCTCAATCAGGAGCTTCACTCCCCTCATTCCTATTGATCAGGGACGGCCATCAAAGGCCTTTGATAACAGAGAAGAAGAGTTAGGAGATCACACAAGGCAAAGGCTGTGTTGTATAGCTCTCGTGTACAGCTGCCCACAGAACATCTGATCCAGGGCTCGTCAGTGAGCAGATATCGTCAGCTGACTGACGGAGATTAAACAGATTCACAGGGAGCGAGTGAGGCTCTCCCCTGCCAGACTGCCCACCTCTTCCCTCTCCCCACTCTCAGGTCTCACCTTCATTGACGAAGAGTTGCCAAGCCTGGATGGGCCAGCCTTCCTTAGGCTCACCATCATGGTTGGCTCCGCACAGGTAGAGCCCCGCATCCTCTTTCCTCAGGCTGGTGATGTGCACACTGAAGAAATGGTTATCCTTGGGAATGAACAGGATCCTGCCCTCAAAGTCCTGATCCTTCTTCCCCAGCGTGTTGATGATCACACTGCAAGCTTCCGCATTTTTTACCCGGCACAGAAATTTGGCCTCATTTGCCTTCTCGGGGCCCAGGGCACAGTCAAAGGTCACTGAGCCCCTCAGTTCTCCATAAATCAGCTCACGCTCGGGCTTCAGCACTTGGAGGTCAGCATTGCTCTTGTCGGCGTTGGCATCATCCCCAGCCTGGCAGACGTACATCCCAGCATCGTTGAGCTGGATTTGGTTGATGTCAACGCTAAACACTAATTTGTTGGTACCCTGAATTTTGATCTGTACTCTGTTGCTGTAGCTGGGGCTCACATACCCAGTAGAGTCGGTGACTAGCACGCAGCTCTGGCCTGTCTTCTTGCACATAGATTTCTTCTTCTCAGAATTCACAGCCCTGAAAGGGCAGTTGATGGTCACTTTTCTGCCCAGTTCTGCTGTGTAGACGTGGACGCCATTTATCTGCCCAGGAGCTGCAGAATGAGGGGTGGGGGTCAAGTTGTGATTTTGCTTTCTTGCACCATAGGACTACTCAATGTTCCCCTTGAGGGCTGGGTGTGCCTGTCACTTGGAGTGCCCTCTTTTCCAGAGGGACACTGTCAGAATGTCTGCCAAGGCCCAACTTCACTGCTGCCTCCTCTATGAAGGCTTCCCAAGCTGGCACTAATCTCTCCCTCCTCTATTCTGTCTTGATACTTACACCTGTATCACTTATTACATCCAGTCTTGTGGACTTTGGGCAAGAACTGATCATTTTATTTACGCTGAGGGTTTTGATGGACTAATGGATCTCAGGTTAGAAAATATATTTTAAAAGAAGCCTTCTGGTGACCCAAGGTCTTGATCTGAAGGGTGCTCTAATAGCAAGAATTTAAGGATCCCTATGAATCTCTCCCTGCTCATGGGCCTCTTGTCCCTCCTGCAACAAATCTAATGAGAGAAGCTGTCCTCCTCATGCTCTTCTAAGTTAGAGCCTTAGTAAAACCTGAAATATTTCAGGCCCTGTAGACCTAGAAAAGTGCCCCCGCACCCCACCACTAAGTAGGTCCCATCTGTCTCGTTTCCATGTTCTATTATGCAAAGTCCTTTCCTCCAGATGGACCCATAGCCTTCCCCATGCCCTCTCAGGAGATCCTTCCTCAGGCCTCCCTGTTGCTCCTGGGATGATTCCCTCTCACTTTTCCCCAGAAGTCTAAGGCACCTGGATCCTTACCTTGACTGACTTCCAGGCTCACATCAAAGGACAGGCCTCGGCTGCTAATGCCCAGACCACACTTGTAGAGACCCGAGTCATTCCGAGTGAGATGGCTGATGTTCATCACAAATGTGCCGCTCTCTGGGAAGTTGGTGAGGTTGGCTCTGCCTTCATAG